CCCCCACACCTCAAATTCTTAACGTAGAAGCGACTCTTCTAGACTCCTGTTTTCTGGCCCAGAGAGAAGCCTGATTGCGCCGCCTCTCTAGCACTTTCCTGGGATTCAGAGGGACTGGGGGTGGCAGGGGCTGTCTCCTCAGGGCAGAGGCAACACTCTCCTCTGAAGTGACACTCACACTTTTATATCATGGGGACCTGGGCACTAAATGCGGGCCTTCATCCTGCCCCTGTTTACAGGACAGGAAGAGGCAGAGTCAGACGTGGTGGCCCCGACAGTAGCCTGACTGTCTGACTGAGGGACCTGGGCCCAGATCACCTTCTCAAAGAAGGAGAGGCATGGGAAGTGCTTCTCTCAGGAGACCAGAGGAGGGAAGGCCCGATTGTACAAGGTGAAAGGCAAGGGGAACGAGAAAATAAGAGAGAATTTCCAATTGTCAACTGCACCTCAGGGGGTGACAGACAGCTGCCCCCCCGCCGCATTGTTCCCCAACGTTTGCCTTGAGTACAGGGGAAGAAGAGAATTTGACTACCAGCATTACTGACTAACAATAAATGCTCAATGAATGTTTCCTGTTTGTCTTAGTCCTGACGAGAGTGGGTGTGAGGAGCCCACACGTCCTGAAGACAAGTGAGAGGGGTTAGACCTGAAGTCCTGTGGCCTTCACCCCCAATCCCAGACTTTATCAGGGAAGCATAACGAGCTGATGGGGCTCAGAGGGAAGCGTTCTTAGGAGAAAGTTCTCAGCCTGGGAGGAGAAGGCTTTTGTGATGTTTCCCCTCTCTCCTCCCCTGACCCCTCAGACTGTGTGGGAAGACCACCATCCTCATACACAGCAAATTGCCCCAACGCCTACAGTGTGAAGGGTGGTGAGAGTGCTCCAGGGAGAACTCGAGCTGCTTGCTTTGGAGTCTGGGGACACATAAGGCTGAGAGGCTGGCGTGAGGAGGAAAGGCCCATGGCAGTGGGATCAGTCATCTTGGAAGGGCAGAGGCACCCCCAGCACAAAGGGGCTGTGTGTGGGTGGGGGGC